CACCTTTTCACCGAAATCGAAGGAGATTGCCTCGGAAACAGCGTCAGCATGAATCTTCCAGTAAAGTCAAACGACCGATGCGAGGTCGAAACTGCAGTCCACTGGTGCCTGGATGAGAACAACTTTTGGGAAAGCAAGGCTATAAAAAAATTAAATGAAGACGTCAGCTCAATTCATATCATTGTTGGAAAATTATTCTTCTACCAGTCCTTCATCACCTTAAACGAAATTGTGTGAATACATCTCATATTACTGATTTGCTGGTGGTCACGAAAACAATACATAATTCGAAAAATAAAGTATAGAAGTCGATTGTTATAGCAAAACATACGTTTGCTTCATCGACAATTCCAACAAAAGAATATGATGTGGCAAAAAGGCCTGGCCTTCCTTGAAAATTCACATTTGCCCTGTGACCCAAAAGGCGCTCGTGGCAGTGTAGCCAAGTGGCTAGGTTGTCAAGCTCCCATCCTGTATTGTCTCGGTTCGACTCCCGCTGAGGGTGTTGTTAAGACCGATTCGAGGTCGAAACTGCAGTACACTGGTGCCTGGATGAGAACAACTTTTGGGAAAGCAAGCCAATGTGAAATTGAATGGAAACGTCAGCTCAAGTCATATCATTGTGGGAAAATTCTTCTTCTACCAGTCCTTCATTACCTCAAACGAAATTTTGTGAAAACCTCTCATACTACTGATTTACTGGTGGTCACGAAAACGATACTTTATTCAAAAAATGAGTATAAGTAGCCCTGTATTTCCCAGAAAGTCATTGTCTCTCCGTCTCCTGCTTCGAATGCTCACCTCCGTTGTCGTTTTGCTCGCATCACTTTGCACACCTTTCGCTCGGGCTTTAGGCCACCGGCTATTTTGCACCTCATTAAACGGGGCAAGCGGCAGAGAGTGTGATCGAAAAACGCCCCACTTGTAGACCCTTCTGAGGCAGCCGTGTCGGCGCGCTTTGCATCACATCAAAGCACTCCGTCAGACCGCAGACTGTAGCGGTGGCAGCCATCATGGTTGCTGAATGCAAGAGGAATTTTTACGCCAAAACCTATTCCCTGCCGGCCTCATACACTCGTTGGTGACACGTGCACAAACACGTGCCCTTCGCCCGCCTCCAAAGTTGTCCATGCCATTTGGTTGTTAAGGTTCTATTCTGGCCGTGGCTACCTGAGCCGGCAGACACTGACTATGCGTTGAGGAGGCCAACTTCTCGGCCGTCCAAACAAATGCAGCCTTAGGTACGTCAACTGTAGGTGATCTGCATCTTTGTCC